TCCACACCGGAAATTAGGGAAAGCCTCAAAAAAGGACCTTCATCACCGGTGAACTCGATTAATCCCCAGGCGAGCTCGTTGGAAACTGCCTAGCTGTATTTTGAAGCAATGAGCAACGGTCCAAACAGTTGTGAGCCACTGCCAAACACCATGCGACTACCTCTGTCTCTCTCTCTCTCTCTCGCTCTCTCTCTCCCTCTCTCTGCAACTTGAGGTACCTTGTCTTGCAAACTGATGGCAAAACAAGAACACCGCCAGTCCTTGGTCCGTTCCTAGGCGGCCTGTCTGACAAGTTGCCCGCACAAACTGTCTGAAGATATTTGGGATTGCTTTCTCGGGCTCGGCCCACTTCTTCTGTCAGAATGATGCACTGGTCGGGCCAGCACACAAGGGAACATGCGGGTACCATGTGGTCATGTCTCACCGGATCTTCAGGCAGATCAACACATCGGAATTCTGTGCCAACTGACCAATGTCAAGCGGCAACTCCGCCTCGCTATACTCCCCCTGCAGGTCCTTTCTCGCCCTGCGAGCGACCGGAAGGGGTGGAAAAAGGGCCATATCTTGCTGGGGTTGACCAGTTTAGTGGGAAGCCACTAGGGAGAAAAGATTCTACGGTAAAGCTGCTCTTAGACTGAGTGGATTACATAGCTCGGTTGTCCAAGAAGCGTGTGCATGTTTCTGACTTGCCAATACAACATGTACGTTTGTTGTGCTGAAAAAGGCAAAGATTGCCCTACAAGAATTTCCAAACCATATTTTGGCGGGTGTTCTATTTGTTTCACCGCGGAAAAAGAGAGAGAGAAAAACACGGCTTGGGTGGAGTGAAGACAGGCTCTGCAGCAATTGCATGCCTATCAATCTTCAGAAGGTCGCATTTCTGCCCGGAAGGTTCAGGCTTGGGAATGCCAATGATGTGGTCAGTGTTGTTTCGGTTGTTTGAGGGTACCCTTTTTATGATTGGTTTTGAGGGGATTGAAAAGGAAAACCACCGATTTTGGGGTCACCCCCAGTTTGACACATAACCTTTTTGCTGGCAAACTTGCCCTGCCCAAGCGCCCCATCCGCTTGCAAACTCTGAGGTCGCTTCCCCTTTATCCCGACTGAAGTGAACAGGGGAAGCCATCTCAGACCGGTCCTCCGCGATTCCAAGTCACACTCACGCACAGGGATTTACCTTGAGTTGCAATTAACGCCAGTCGTTGGTAGGTTGTGTCCTTTTGCGCGCCGTTCCTCTCTCTTTTTCCTCATCTTTCCCTCCACACCAAAAATCGTATGTTTGGTTCTGGTACGTACTTAAACCTCAAAATCCTGCATCAATTTACATGGAACCCACAAATGTTCCCCCCCCCCCCCCGGTGCCCCCCGCCATTCTTGGAGGCCTTTGGGTTCCATCTGAAAAGTCACCCTGCCTGGCCGTGCTGGGCCCCAAATAGCTCGCGGCCATGTCCTCGGATCGGACCGGGGGGGGGGGGGCTGCAGTCAGGTGACCCCTTAAGTTTGGGGATATGAACCCCCGCCCCTCCCCAAAAAAAAGAAGAAGAAAAAAAGGTCATGGAGACTCCAGGTGGAACAAAACAGAAGAAGCAAGGTGAGCTCCAAATAGCCCCTTCCAGCAAAATGGATGGATGCTGCTCGGTCGAACTGTCCTTTCCATCAACTTCCTGAAGCCCAGGCGGTGGGCATGGGAACACGACGCCGTGTTTCTCCTTTTTGTCGATCGTTGAACTTAAATCAGAAAGCAACTAACACAAACGATGACAACGCCCTGGGCCATGTGAAACCTGTCTCAGCGTTGGCTCTAGTTCAAACTTGGTGCACCCAAACATCCAAATAATTGATGTCTAAAGAGGCATAATCAAAACCTTGCTTTGAGGTGGTCTACCTCAACCAATGTAAAGAACTAAAAGGGCGGCTGACCGAATTTTGGTTGGGACTCTACTAAACTTCACTTCCCTGGCCACCTGGGTGATTGTCAAACCTTGGGCTGCTCAGATTCTGTTTCACAATTATTCAACCTTAACATGCAACATCTGTTCTGATGAGACCCCATAAAAGAGATTCCAGACACCCCGGATTCACATTTTTGACTCCGGGTTTTGGGAACGAACTTGACGTCTCCAATGGTCTAGTCACGGGGTGATTCCCTCGGTCCCCGCGAGCCACCTTTTTTGCCGGGGACCCCCACGCTCCAGAGGCCCAGATCGTGGAAGGCGAGCGCCGACTCCAACACTCGCCGGCCACCTGTTAAACCATTGCGGCTCCAGAGACATGCGTGTTGCTTTCTTGGAAGGGTGCTTCTTTTCTTAAGAGGACGTTGGCACAGCCAACACAGCCCTTTTCCTCTTGACTCCCTGCCTAGCTCCGGAAACGTGGTTAAGCAATTCGCCGGCTCACGTGACTTGAGGTACCCGCCTGCGTCAGGCTCTTTGCCCAGGAAGTAGGTGGTGAAGGACAGGACCCGAAGGCAGTGGTTGCCTGAGCTCGAGGCCCTTCGACGGGAAGGATTTCGCCCCAGAAACTTCCGGCCGCTTGGCCGGACTCAAGGAATCGGTTCAAGAGTTTGGCAGCACCAAACACCACCAGAATAACCCATCTAAACCGATGTCGACGTATGTCAATGAACCATGCACATAATTTCGGGTGGTGCTATGAGAAATGCGTACAAACAACCCTGCAAACCAGACAAACATACACATACACACAAGCATAGAATACTGGAATGATCACATCCCCAACCCTTCATACGTTGATCCCTGGTGCTCACAGTAGGCAAACACGAATGGAGCATGATTCTACATACACTCCAACCCTCCACGTTTGGGGTACGGCCCCATCCGTGCGTTGCTCGGGGGTTGGGAAGGGCAGATTCAGTGTTCGAAACAAGGTGCTCTTCCCGTGACATCCTCAAAATTTACCCTCTCAATTGTGGTGTAAAAGGACACTGCCCCAAAGTAACTTTGAGAATCCCTCAACATGTTCTTTTGGAGGGACCCAGAACAAAGCTGCTTTGCGGCACAATCGTATCACTGTGCATCTCATGCTTCATGCATTTCAGAGGGAATTCGTCCTTGGAGGGTAAAGGACAGCAGAAGTCTCCCTCTTCATTTTGCGGGCGTAACCCTGTTAAACATTTACAAATTCAGTGGTGAAGCTGCCAAGACAACAGGACAAACACACCCTTTTGACTTCGCCACACACACACACACATCCTGCTCGGCAACCCCGACAGAAAATCGCTCGCATTGCTTCTTTTGAAGCTGAAACTATGGAACAACAATTGGCTTCACACCCTCTGGTGGCGCTTGTTCAAGGCTGACAACTCCAACAAGGTGCGAGCGCGAACTTGGCTCTTTCCACGCGGCCGTGGACACTCGCACAAATGAAACAGGCACTGGCTGACAAAGCAAATGGTACAGTGTCACCCCGCTACTCCAAAATCCTACCAAAAAAAGCGGGTTCCGAAACATGACCTGGCTTTCAGAGGAGAAACCTGGGTTTCAAAAGGCATACGAAAAAAATGTTTTGTTTTACTGATGTTGTACGGTCATTGTACGGGTTTCAGGAAGCAAAACCAGGTTCTTCAAGTTCTTCAACCGAAAACCTGGTCTTCGACGAGTAATTAAACCAGCTTTTTTTTCTGCCCACCCCACTTTTTTGCAGGTTCTTCGAGTACCAGGACTGAGAGCTAAATTGGTCTGGCAAAAATAAACATAGCAGTCTTCATTTTGGACAATCAAACATTACGGGCGAGTTAGTGCCGAGTTTGCTTGATGCATGACACCCTTTGATCAACAAACATGTTAGGTCCAAACTGTGCATTCTGCAATAAAGGCAAGATAAGTTTCCTGCTATATCTCAAACCTTGTGCCAAACAAAGCTCAACATGCGTGTGACAAACAAAGAAAGGGTCCCCGCACACATGAGCGGTGCCGACAATAGGGTACACAAAACCCTCTACTAACAAAGCGCTTTCGCGGAACCTTTGCTGGTTGGCGTATTTTGAAGAGATACCCAGCAAAAAAAACGAAAACACAGCCCCTGGCCTGGGGAGTCCTCCAGTTCATCCAAAGATTCTGCACATATTGTAAATCCAAACGCTGAATTAAGGAATCCACAGTCAAATGCTCTTTATCAGGGTGAGCTCGTTTTACCCCCTCGCCAGAAATTATGCAGTAAAGATGCGATATGCCAAGAAGTCACCGCCTAGCTCCTTCTCATACCTCGGGATTGCACGGCTCGGCTCCACTGTGAACCTCCGGGGTGGTGTGCTGTGGGTGAATACCTACCTCAGTTGCCCACAGGACCCAGAATAAGGCTTGCCGTTTAGGACCATGACTAAAGGTGGACCAAAATGGCAAAATCAAAAGGTCAAAAGAAGTGCTTTGAACGACTGAGCTACAGCAAGTGTCCGTGTGGAACTCTACCACGTGATGCTTTCTTCGCGCAACAAGGTTGCAGAATGTTGCAGTTTCTTTCACACTCTTTAGCAACAAAAACATACAAGTCGCGAGGCATTCCTTTGCCACAGCAAGCAACAAATTGCGGGCTCAGGAGCTTCCAAAGTGTGAGACGCTTCTCAAGAAAGTTAACAGACATATTGCCTCGTGTCAAGGGCGCATGCCAGAGATGTAAATCACTCAAATCCCCCAGTTGGGGGTTGATCAATATTTCTGGCCCCAAATTACTGTGGGTATTCTTTCCCATTGGTGAAAGTCGTCTTTTGGGGTGTCCCTAATGGTCACCCCATGTCAAGGATCTTTTGACCAACCCCCACTTGGAAACAAGGAATTTCGAAGTACGGGCCCTCACAGGCTGGGGTCCCAACCCATATTTTGACACATGCCAAAATTTGGCCTGAGGGATGGGTATGTGTCCAAATAGGCGCACCACCCAAGTTGAAAAACAATATGGTTTTCCTTGTGGCTCCCTTTCAACCAAAGTGAAAAGGGTAATTACCCTGATAAATGCCACGCGCAGGTGCCCACCTCTTCAGGTGTGCCATAAGCACCGGGGCATCCTCAGCTTTCAGCACCTGACAATGAAAGAGATCGTCTACAAAACCGAGCCATCATGTTGCTTCAAACCATCCACGTGCCACACATTTGAATCATTGGCCACCAGGCGGGTACCCATTCTTATGTTGCAAAGAGACATCAAACGGAAACTAGTTGGAGGCATACCCATATGCAGTGCGGCTTTGAAGGAAGAGCTCTTACAGGGTCAAAACGACCTGGGCGTGCTTCATGAAATTGCGGAAACATGAAACTCTTTTCTCGCAGCACCGTTTGGGGAATCTCCAGCTATGCGAGAAGTTCTTGGGCAGTGCTAAATTGGGCTTGTCTCACATTCAGAACCCGCTCCAAAAAAGATCCGCCTTTGAGACGAACCCCACCCTGCGCAGGTGAGTCATCTCTGAGTTCTGTTAAAGAAGACCACATTTAGCCTTGCCTTCTGACTTCAAGGCCGAAATGGATACTCCAGCAACCTTTCAATGATTGCCTGAGCCAAGCAACAAAAGCTTGATAGCGCCAATCACCCCAATGTGAACTGTTGCAAATACGTTGGGTGCTGAACAGGGGGTCTGGAAAAAGTAAGAACATACCCATCCCTTGTTTGTTTCCTTTTGTGTTGGTTTAAATATTGGCTGAGGCTACATACTTAACACGAGGCAAAACCCAACAAATGGATGGACACCAGTAGTATGGTCCTTCCGGGCAAGCTCTTCCTAAACTTGGCATATCAAAAGTAATCTACACTTTTAGGTTGCCCAACACATCTTCCAAGGTTTCTTAAGCAGGACTCTGGTTTGCATGACATTGGTCGAACAACACATCACAATTGGGGGATCAAACACCAAAAACACCCCACTTTGGTTGACACTAAACCCAAACAACCTGAAAAATATGGTTTGCCAGATGGACTTGAAATTCTCTCAACTCGCTAGGGTGTGCCTCACAGGGAGGGCCTTCTGATTGTTTTACACGCCTCAGTTTTTGGAAGCCGAAAGGATACCAACCACTGGATTTCCTAGGTCTTCCCCATGCCAAGAAAAACTCACCTTAACTGGGCCGCACGGGCGTCAACAGGACCCCTGAGCCGTGAACGGCGCAACCGTTTTACACAACTTGACCAGTGGCGCATCTCAAACTTGTTTCCTGGGCTGGTCAACAAAGCCCACAGTCTTTAGTTGCCACTGAAATGCTGCTCCCAAGGTACCACGGCTGGGGCATGTTGGGGCTCTGGCGATTACATTGGCAGCACATGGCACAACACCTTTGGGCCTTGGATCGGAGCTTTGAATTGACGGGGGAGACAAAGAAGCTGGGACTGCGGCAAAAGCCGAAAATGGGTAGAGGTTGGTCAGATTAGTGTGATGGCTGCCAAGTCCACCCTGCCGCTCCCAACACCTTGTCTCATCTCTGCCTTGCCTTCTTCCTCCTTTCTTCTTCAGACCTAGTCGCCCTCCAACAATCTTTTCAGACCCCCCCTGTCCGCTTCCAAGGAGTTTTTGGAAGGAGGGCCACCCTGCAATGGGCGCAGCAGAAATACACCCGACTCCGATCAAGCGCCTTGAAGTCTGCTGACGCCTCCCCTGAGCCGTGGGAAAAACACAGATCGCTCAGAGCCTAGGGCCTGTGGTCGTGATCCCAGTTGCCCAGCGATCCTGGTCTGTTGGTATTGACCGTTTGTAGTGTGGAACTTGCGAAACAAAAAGGCACAGTGCCACTGAACAACTGGGTCAGGGTTCCTATAAACATCCTTGCACTGGTTCGACAGGATCATGATTGAACGATTGATCGATGAGTCATGCGCAAATCTTGGCCCACATATGGGGTACACAGAACACATTTGTCTGTTGTTTTTCATATTTAAGCCGGTCTACCCAATCAATACGCATGAAACAGCTTTGGAACAGACCCCAAGAATGCTCCCGTGACATATCCATCTGGCTGAGCGAGCGAACACGGTCAGTCCCGGCGAGCCTGGGAAAAGCCTTGGCTGCGCGCCGTAGAGTCCCACGGCGGTCAACACTACCAGGCACTTCCGGAGCATCCCCACCTTAGTCAGACAAAACTCACGAGCTCGACATCTCAGGCTTTGCACGCTTCTGCCAGAATGTGGAGTTGCCTCCAAATTGTGGACCCTTCTTTGCTTAAAATTAGAGTGGCCCAAATCCAGACGGCAGAAACCAAAAGTTCAGATTCTGTCTAGCCAACCTCACAATCTAACATCTGTTCCCAGGAGACTCCACATTTAGGGTTCAAAAGCTGTTGTCAGAATATGACTTTGATGGCCCCCAACAACTCTTGCGCCGGCCAAGCCCCGAAGTGCCACACTCCACAAAGTGGAGCGCGTTGCTGGTGATGGGTTTGCCAAACAGCACACTCATTCATGGGACGGCACAGGGGTTCAACAGCCAAAGGGAACCAAAACCACCCACTAACTCGTAGCCCGAAGGAAAGCACGACACACCGACCTGTCTGGTTCCATGTGTGTTTGGAGTACATCCAACTCACTTCCGTTGGGCCAAAGTCCAAACTGTTGGTTCACTAAAGTGGTCTTCCCAAAAAGAATAAAGTCCAACTCGCAGAGTGATTGAGCCGAGCCGCAAAATTGCTCCGCTGGGCAATTTAAACCCCGAGACTCGACCGGGGACGTCTGCAACTTGAGCCAGTTTCGAGTGCGGGCTGATATGGAGACACATTGGCAAATGGCTACAATGGCAGCTTTCCTTTTGACGTGGCTTTCAAGCTACCCCAACAAGAAAAACTGCGTTTCTTGAGGGTACTTTATTCGGTTTGGTTTTGAAGGGAGACCGAAAAGGACAAAATTGCATCTTCTGCGAGTCCTCCTATTTTGACACATACAAAATGGTGCCGGTGAGGCAACGTGCAAGCCGTCGTGTTGCGTTTTGTATCTTGTCTCAGGCTGCAACTAGTTGCCCTCGCACTTCAAAGACTTTGGGCGGCGCCAATCCAACCTCAAATTACCTTTCGAACCAACGTCTTGTCATGGTGGATGGGGTTCCCCGTTTTCAGACACACCTACGTTCACACCAACACCCAGTGTCATACGCTACATAGCTGACGCGTTGCAAATCGATCTTTGACAATCAGCCTTGATGGGCTTTTCAAGGAACAAAGGAACCAGTCTCACTGCTTGCCCAGCTTCTACCCAGAAGCCAGTGAAGCCGAGCCATCGAACTTGGTCTTGAAGGTTGGATGGTGCTTAGTTGCACTATCCCATCAGTTCTAGCCACCATCCCTGAACCAAGTCACTGTCCGCAAGATTCGCACAAGCCGTTCTAGAGTGCACACAGCCAACGAAGAATTAGGCGACCAGTATTGGTTGAGAATGCTCCGCCTACTTGCCCAGGTTCCGATTTGGCTCAATTGACGCCAGTGCCGGCTTGCTTTCTGGAGGTGGGGCACATTGGGCGCATTGGGGCACTCTTTTTGGGGGGTTACAGGCCCATTTTGGGGCGATTCACTCTTTCCTTTGGGAGTGTGTGTGTGCCAACAAACAAACGTGGGAACCTTTTTGTGATGTCCTTCCGGTTTCCTCTAACACCACACAAAAAGGGGCTCCCCATCTTCGGGAAGCACCCATGCAGAGTGGAAAGCACATACTTGGCTTTGTCTCCAAATAGACGAACCCCCCCAAAATGGGTGGTTTCCCTTTACAGCCGCCCAAAAACAGGGTACTGTTAAACAAGAACGCCTCACGTCCTGCCTTGGTTAGCCCAGAAAAAGTCCAAACTGCGTGTTTATCACTTTAGTCACGGTCTTCCCAAGTCCAGGGATTTTCAGAAAGTCAGTGAGGTTGAAGATGCGCACACGCCACCTCTCCCAGAACGGCTCCTTGCCGCCCAGGACCGCCTCAGAGCCGGACGCAAGTCTCCAGCAGAGCTTGAGAAGCAAAACACAACCAACCAAGCAAACAACAAACGAGGCAGCTAGCAAGTAGGCAGGCGCGCTCGCAAACACAAACAAACAAAAACGGACACAAACAAAGAGACAAACAACCAGACAAGCAAACAAATAAACAAGCAAACTAAAACACATACACACTAACACTGAACAAGAACCAACAAACCAAATAGATGGCGTGGCTCTAGTCACTCTAGTACTTTGACAGCAAACACGCAACAAGCAAGCATTGGGCAACTGGGTGCACTAAAGGGGATCTCGCAAAGGCCAAAGACAATCCCGGCTTGTGTGGTGGGCAAGGGCAAAGGTTTCCTGATTGAATGGCAGTACGTTAGATTGCGTAGATCAAACTACATCGCATTGAAGTAAGTTCCGAGATGCTTCATGATGTCACCTCGCATCTCACAGCATCACACTACAATGCGGTTCGTCAGGCTGCTAGACATTTCGTTGCAGCACCATATGCTACGCCACATTGCATTGCACACATTGCAGGCATGCTACACATGGACATGCACCTGTCGACGTGCAAGCAAGCAAGGGGGAGGGCTTGCGAAACCCTTGTTGAACCTGAGGGGAAATGTCCGGTAAGGCTTTAATTTAGAGCATAGTATAGGTAAGGGCTGGCAAGGACCCCGATTTGGCCCCGATTTCGGCCACATTGAGATCACTGGAAGCCCCGGTGCGCATCACTTTGCACTTATGCGACATGGTACTGACCCAGTTTCCGAATATATATTCGCTATGCTCTCCTTCCAACAAATCATGGAAGCTGACAGGAGAGACTACTTTCCTTTGGGGAACCTCCCCGTCCACTTCCACGATTGTTGGAACAAAGGGAATGGTTTCGATTCACGGTAGACGACAACCAGAATTGCCTTGCCCTTCCGAAGTGGACAAGTTTTAGCTTTTGTGCCATACCCGGATGCCTGGCGCGACCCATCAGCGTATGAACTTCTGAAGTAAATGGGATCCAACATGACCAGATTTAGATTGTCTTGCAGTGTTTGTATTAGCAATTGGGGCCAAAGCAAATCGCCGAACCACAACCCATTATCAATTGAGGATTGAACCAAAGCCTCCGATGGACAATTTACCTTTGATGTCAACCCAAGATTCCCTCGCGCATATTAAAAAGAAGTCGCACGGCGTTTCTTGACTCCCTCCTTTCATGGGGCCTTCTGCGGTTTTGGAGCAAACAAGCTTGCCTTGGAGTTTGCAGGAACTCATGGGGCGACAGCCCCTGTGTAGTTCCCAGGAAAGCAACGTTTCACTTGGCCGCCAAACTATCCGGACTGGAACATATGTATATATATATATATTTATTCATTTATTTGGAGCCTTCGTCTTAAACAGATTGATTTCGTCTTACAGGTTTCCTGGTGACATTTACCGGCTCCTCTCACAGTTGAGTGCCTTGCCAGCCAGGGTCTTAAAAACAGCCTTTCTTTCTACCATGCAAAGGAACCAACATGCACAAAACAAAGTATCCGTCAGACAAGTGTTCATTTTGGCTTCGTGACATGCTCGCGCACTGCAAAAGCCGCCAACTGCACACAATGGGAGCTTGCGTTCTTCAAGGTCGCGTTCGCTTTTCGGGAATTTCCACCCAATTTCAGGATCTCCAGGCACAAAGCCCTTATACAAACCTTCGTAGTGGTAGCTAAATGCTGAACACTGGTGCCTGCCCTGACGTAGATGGGCACCGGGCCATCAAGTACGCACCCATGTATTTCATCGCCATGGCTGCCACGCACCTGACATCCAGGTATCCAGCTCCGGACCAAACTCTCATAGTGAATATGCACGTGCGGGTACCCTTCTTGGGGTGGCGACTTTTGAAGGGAAAACGAAATGGAAACCCCTGGTTAGAACTTGAATTTCGGGACGAGCTATCGGGGTAACTTGTACTGCTCGAGCAACCTGAAATGACCCATGGTGAGATCGCAATAATCTTCGACCAACCGCTATGGGCACCAGGCATGTGTTCAACACAGCAAATCTATGAGAGTCCTGGTTTACAAACAGAAGTGCGCTTGGATTGCATTCTCATTAACTCAGCCAGGGCTCCCGTGAAACCTCCCAAACTGCAAACAAGGAATCTGACAAAATCTGACAAACACGCCTGGTGAATTGAGGCGATTTGTCTGGAAATGAGGCAGTTGCGACCATCTTGCCGCAGCAATGCCCAGGGTGCATTTCGGCAGGGCCTGATCAGAAAGTGCTGCAACGGCACCTGAACAGAATATTTTGGCTCTTTGTGCGTCGTAGATTGACGTTAGGTTCCTTTTGTGGTGAGAGATACGGAGGATATGCGAAACGTCTTCACCACATCGGAACTGGCACTCGTCTTAATCACAAAAAGGCAGGGCTCCACATGCACAACCGCATGCATGTCAAAATAGTGAGACAACTGCTTGAAAACCTTGACGTCACACGTTGAATAGTAGCTCAACCTCGCGTTCTTGAAAAACACGATACTCTAGCAACCAATGAAACGGCTTGTTTGTGTTTCTGCAAACTCCAGCAGGGTTTTGTCGGACTTCTGCCCAAAGTAGATAAAACAACGCATCCAATTTAACTACTCCCTCAACTCAGTGACAACTTCTGACACAGATTTCCGTGGATCAGGTGGCAACTGAGATGGGCCTGTCTAAAAATCGGGCCTTCGGTGCCCGTCTTTTCCTTCATAGATCAATACAAGGAACTTTCGGACGACTCTCACATATATTCCGTCTAATATATATATATATATATATACATAATATATCATTATATATACACACACACACGCACCCGGTAGTGGTATTTTGACTCCATACCCTCAGACTCCATGCTTGACAAATTCCCCGAGCCTAACCCTGTATGTGCAAGCGACATGCACACGACCCGCCTTCGGCCTTTGGCTGCCCACCCAAAGAATCCGCTGAGGCCGAAACGGGCGGATTTCGGAAGCGTTGGCGATTGCACTTCTTTCAAAACACAACGGAGAAACACGAGGGTATACCACCACTACAACTGGGTTGGTCAACATGAGGGGATCCCTCATCCTACTGCATAAACCGTGGTTGAACAGCAGAGCAAGGGCAGCCACTACCGTCTGCCAAAAGAACTGAGGATGGACTTTGAACAACCCAGTGCACTTCTGCCCGCTAGCTTAGCACCTCCGGGAGATCGACTTACTCCGGAAGGGACCCCCTATCAGGTGCTAGCGGAAGGGTATATGAGCAATGAGCATTGAAACATGAGTTTGCTTGCCAAAATCCGAAGGGACAAAGCGACCATCCGCTCGCACGCTCCTCGTTTCTCCCTTTGAAAACATGGTTTAGGATCAAAGCTTGCAATGCGAATTCAGGATCCACCAAGCTTTGTCAGCCTTGCCACATCTGCCATAGAACTTGGCATTTGGCTTCTGCGCGCTGCTAGCCATCTCTCTCCGGGAACCCACGCAGGGCCAAGCTTGCTGTCGCTTCTTTCTTTCATGGCGCATCTGCTTGTCGTTGGCATGCGGCTATCGCACCGGCTGACCTGCAAACTCGGCACACTGAAACTGACAATGCACCCATGGTTCTGCATTGTGCATTTTGATCGATCCCCTTGCCACCAAACATGTGGAGAAACTTCCCCGGCGCATGCCCTCTTTTGGTTGCCAAAAGGAAAGCCCCGCAATGCTCCAAGAGCATCGCGATGGCCCCGCCCCAAAAAATCGGTGTTGAGGAACTTTTGGGGGAAACACGTTCAATGGAGCGGTGCTTGAATACTTTGATTTCTAGATGGCGTGCGCGCAAATGATACATCGATTGTAGAACAGCATTGCGCACATCAAGAACAAACCATGGAAGGCAACTCAATGCAGGCTGTTGGATGGAGTCCGTAGAACAAGGATCGTACTGACCTCCCTCCAGTCGTGATTGCCGAAAACATGAGCCTTGGACGTGATTGGGCTGCCAAGCAGCTCACCCACACCACCAGGCTGGAAATGCTCCCATAACATGGTGAGTTACAGCGTGGCGCGTGTGTGCCCTCCAGCCATGGAGCCTAAGCCGCCATTGCTGTGAGTCTGCATGGCATGAACGGCGCACGGCACATGACACAGGGAAGGGTGACGAACAAGTTTCTTCACTTTGAGTTCGGCACAAGAGATCACACACACATATGTCATAGCATGCCAATGGAATGGGGCTCTCTAAAATGGGAGCCTGCTTTTGGATTCCCTTTCACAGGGCCCCGCAAAAGAACGATAAACAAGAATGTATCCCTTGTGAAAACTATCCAAGTCTATGAAACATCCGTCCAGGGATCCCACAACAATGCTGGGAAAATATCGACCAAAAACATGATGTACCTAAAGGGAGGGGGGTGGGGACTTTCCGTTTTTCCAGACCCCACCCATGGCTTCAGCACCCAAGTTGTGGACGCGCCTTGATGCCTCCGGTCTGGCGGAAGCGGCGCCTTGCAACTCTGGATTGACCCATGAGTGCAAATTGAACCTGGGTGCAGGATAGGTCTGGAAAAGGTAAAACTTCCCTGTTTTAGTTTCCCTGTGTAAACTTCAAACTATGGCCTATTTAGCAACCAGCATCATGAATCACGATCCCAACCTGATACTATCTGGGTACCATGTGCTAGGAACATAGAACCCAAAAAATAAGTTTCCTGTAAGGATTGGTTTGTTGGGTTCCATGTTAATCTGCAAGGGAATAAAGGGGTCTGGTCAAAACTCATGGAAAAAACATAACAACATCCACACCTGGGTTTCCCTGGGCTTGCCGAATGGCGTTGCTGGGTTCGTTTTTACGTTGGACGGATCGAGTCGCATCGACATGGCAGGCCACTAGCTCGTGCCATAGCAAACCCAAATCATGAAGATGATCCATGGCAGTGGCCAAACCAGGGGTATATGGGGGTTGTACCAAATTACTTTGCGCCCATATGATGGCCCCCATATGATGGCCTGCGGCCCAAGACCTAGTTCCGAACTGTGTACGAGCGCTGCGGCCCGGAAGTCTGGAACAGTCGCTGAGCTTGTTCGCTTTAACTGACAAGAATCCTGGTAGCCACCTTCAACAAGTCTTAGGTGCCCACCAGACAAAGGAGCGACGCAGAAGTCTCAGCTTAACGCCCTCAGCCGCGGATCTGGGAATGGAAGGTATGGGATCTGGAACGGAACAAACGGAACGCGCGAAAGCTTCAAAATACGTAGCAAGGTGCGGGTTGCTGGCGCTTTGGAAGGACGAAAGCTTCTGCAGGCTGCCCCCACCTTTACCGATTATCGCGTTGGACCGCCGCGGCGGTGGGTTCTTACGTTATGGAAGCGTTGAGTGTGGTTAGCTGTTGCTTTTTTCAGCAAGCCGACCTGCCCCGCCCTTTGAAATGAACACTGCGTCATAATGTATCATGCTGGGTGCCAAAGCGTATGGACTCAAAGGCGGGGCTGATAGCCTAGCTCTATGGTCCTTCCGCCCTTTTCGGGATCAGGGATCCTTACATGAAAAACACCTGAACATTGCAACTTGTAGATGGCGGTTTCATTGTATTTTGGTGGAAAAAGCAACATGGTTCAACTGGTTGCAAAATGGAGATCTTTTAAGGAGCCCTGCTATCAAGGGCTTTTCCCGACCTTTTCCAATGGAAACCCTCCAATTCACAGGGCTACGCAATGCTTCGATCGGTCCCGCTAGGTGCCGACCTAGAGCTGCCCCGGCTGAATGACCCAAGGCGCTGTGGGCGGCTTTTTGTCACCTGCTGCATTTGCAAGGGAAGCTTGGCCCGTTGCAAATGGGAACTCCAGTGTTCATCACGCTCACTGACAGCCTTCAGGCGCCTAGCCAATTTCAAGGTTTGCCGGGGAAGGGTCTGTTGTTTCCTTCGGACTCGATTTGTCGCCTGAAAGCTGCAGCCTGCGGGGAGCTTTGTCCAACTTCGAGCTTGCCTAATGTGTGGCAATCGGTGCCTCAGCTCCTTGGCATGCTGGGTATTAGCTCCAACAGAAGTCCGGAGCTGAGGCCAAATCCATAGGCCATAGGCCACATTGGGCCAGAGGCGGCATTATTCCAGAGCCATTTCC